AAAAATTTCATTTTTAAATAAGTAATTATAAAAACCAGTAGTCTAAATCATCAATAGTGCCAACCCATATCATAATCAAACCAGTATGTTAAATAACCAAAAACATGTCATAGAAAAGTAATATTAGAGTACAACTCCCAAAGATCTCATAATGCGAAAAATCATAGTGTGATGCGCTGCGATCATGCCGACTCCTTTCCTTTTGAAGAAGAAGTACCTGAAACACAAACTAAATTGTAAGCACAAAGCTTAGTGAGTTCCCCCATCATACCACATAAAAGCATACTGTCAGACATATCTGGGTGCTCGACCTACCCCTTTGGTTTAATTCAACCGGATATTGCCGAGCATATATGGGTGCTCGACCTACCCCTTCGGTCTCTTCCAACCGGATACTGTCGAGCATATCTAGGTGCTCGACCTACCGCTTCGGTCTATTTCAACCGGTTACGGGGTCTATTTCACCCCTACCACTTCCACATAATATCATAGCATACAAGCACATAAATCACAACAGATAGTGGCATACCAGACAATTATCACAGAGACAATCATCTTACTATAAAAACAACAAGGGGGCCGACATTGGTGCCTTCGACCCACTGATACAGGGAAAGTAACTCACATCGAATACTGGAAAGTAGCTGAACAGTCCCCGGCTTCGAATATCAATCCAACTCAATCCCCTAAACATAAAAGATTTCCCTAAGTACCCCTTCATACTCATAACCCCTTAAGGTTTAACTTTGGTCAAAGTCAAATCAAAGTCAACGCTCCAAGTTGACTCAACTCGTCGAGTTTTCCTCCAACTCACCGAGTTCTTCCTTTTCAACAGAATCGAGACTTCTCATTACAACTCGTCGAGTTCTTTCGTGAACTCGTCGAGTTCTTCAGTCTGCTAACCCTTCTTAATGCATTAAGCCATTATTCTTCAGATCTACACCCTATACTCCAGATCCAGACTGGAAATGCCTCTAGAAGGGTAAAGTTTCCAACTTTACCCATTAATACCTTTCCTAAAGAGATTAAGCTCAAACCCTAACCCAAAAAGGCCAAAGTCTTAATCCAAAAAACCACCAAAACTACAAGATAGACCATGAGATCATAGATCTGGACTCTAGGGACAAAAAGATCACGTAAAGTTCCAGCTTTCTCTACATACATGGTCATTAGAAGCTCCAAAAGGCCAAAATGATGGTCTAAAGGTTGCATGGGACTCCCATGGCCATAAAGTTGGCACCTTTATGCCATGAAAACCCTTCAAGACCCTAGATCTGAAGTGTTAACCCATTTGGGACGTCCAACTCCCAAGGACCATGATATTTGGGCAAAACCAAACAAAATAACCCTAAAAGAAGATCTAAACAACTACAAGGCAATGTTCAAGCTTTATACCAGAAAAGTGTCATGGATGAGGCAAAGGTTCTGGATCTATAAGCTCCTTCTTGTGTCTTCAAGCTTTTCCTTCTTCCAATGGCTTCAACACACACCAAAAACACCCAAAATGGCTCACAATCACTCAAAGTAGCTTTAGGGTTTCGAGATTTAGGGTTAGGACAGTGGAGGCTGGAAATGAGGCCAACACCTTGGGGTTAAGGTGTTTAAATAGGGTGCAAAACCATGGAATTAGGGTTTCATTTTACCCAGCCAACTCGTCGAGTTGGTCACCAAAACGCGTGGTCCAAAACATCTCTACTCGACGAGTTTGGGGCCTCCAACTCGTCGAGTTGCTATATAAAAATGAATAATTATAAGTTAAATACATACCAGGAACCAGGCGTTACAGATCTAGCATTTTACTATTAACTTTTTTTTTCTTATTATGATATTATACTTTGAAAATCTACCAACTATAGTAGTGAAAACCGTTTTATATTTGGTATACATTTTTGTTGTACTTTGAAAAATATACCATATTATATGCATTATACTTTTATTTTTTTTTTCATCAGGATATTATATTTTGAAAAACCTATCAATTATAGCATTGTGAAAAATTGCTTTATATTTGGATGCCAATATGCCATTGCTATAACTACATGGTTTATTTATAATACAACATTGTAACAGGAAGAAATAAAAACAATAAAAACAAGATCCTATAAAAAAAACCAACAATAAAAACACATTGTTATTGCTATTTATCACATTGAATCAATTTGTGAATTCCCAAATAAAATGAAATATGCAACCTTTTTTTCTAGGAAAAATGAACCAAGAGAAAGTTGGAAACGCATTCTACGTTGCCCCCGAGGTTTTGAGGCATCAAGAATATGGAAAAGAAGTGGATATATGGAGCGCAGGGGTGATTCTATATATGTTACTCACCGGAGTGCCGCCTTTTTATGGTGGTAAGAATAAGATTAAAAGATTCCTTATCTTTTTTTTAGCATTTAAATTACCTCTAAAAAAATTAACTCACCCAAATTTTTTTATTTTTGTAGAAGATGAGAAAGAGATATTTCGCGCGATAATGAAAGCAGATCCCGATATGGAGAACTACCCGTGGCGGTTGATTTCATAGAATGTGGAAGAGTTGGTGAAGAAGATGCCCAGGGCGGATCCAAAGAAACGCCCAACCGTCGCGGATGTTGTCGCGGATGTTCTTAGTATGTTTCTAACATAACAAAATTAATTAGCAAATCCAAATGGAAGGAAGATTGAAATTACTTATATAACCTTGGTGTAGCCTTGTTTAGCATTAAAACACACTATCTTTTGCGAGTTGGTGGACAATGGTGTAGCAACCAAAAATCCAATAGATGATGAGTTTCTTGATAGGATGAAGCACTTTAGAGCTATGAACAAATTCCAAAGATTCGCACTCAAGGTATGGTTTGATATGTTCCATGAAAATTAGTTTTAGGGATTGTTTGAATACTAGTGGAACAAAAAAGTTGCTTGTTTATTCATGAAGGAAATAGATTCCTCCAATTTTATAGATGGAATGGAATGAAAACCGTAATATATATGATCCAATTCTATTCATGTGATCAATATTTTTTCTAGAACTAACGATTGTGATTAAATTATAATTTTATTTTCTAGAAACAACTAAAAGATATATTTTTCTAGACAAATTTACAGAAATGTCCCCTATCGTATAGTGAAAATTACAGGTTTGGATCAACTTCCAATTTCATTACAAGGATTTATTATAATCTTGCCAATTTTCATCTATAAATATTGAAGTTGTCAAAAAATTTTATTATAATCTTTATTTGGATTGGAACTTGGAACTTGGAACAAGCATTTATTATGTTTTACTTTTTAGTTTTATTATAAAAAAACTCATTCAGCCTTATCTTTTCACATATTTTAGGTTATTGTTGATATCCTCCCAGGAGAACTGGAGGGACTAAAAGCAATGTTTCATAACATGGACACAGACGAAGACAAAGTTATCACACGTGAAGAACTTGAGAAATCATTGGTTAGGGTCGGATCAAATCTTGGGTCCGAAGAAATCAAAATTATAGCGAAGCTGTAAGAATCCTCCAAAAAAATATATTAGTTATATAATTCATAAAATATAAAAATAAAAAATAAAAAATATTACACGTATTGTATATCTGTATTGCAGGCTGATACAGATCAGAATGGATTAATCGACTACAATGAGTTTATCACAGCCATGATGAACTTTCGGAGAATGTATAAAGAGGAACACCTCCTTAAAGCTTTTCAGAAATTTGACAAGGATAATAACAAGTAAGCATTGTGTGCATTTTAGGGCAAATTAAAGGAAATCAGAAAACCTGTTATATTTTTTACATATATTTTATTTTTATGATTTCCATTTTCTGGTTTTTGCAATTTTGGTCCAAAAAAGAATCATTTGACAGAAACGGGACCAAAAGCTCAAATATGGACCAAAATTGCAAGAGAAATCTTTTTGGGACCAAATCTGTAACTTACTCTTTTTCCAAATTCACCATTTTTACGTGATCATATAACAAGTCAAAAGGGCCATTTTGGAAAAATATAGGTAACTTTTATTGTTTGATTGGGAAAAAAAGTTCTAAACAATTTTCCAAATTAACCATTTAATTTGACCTCATTGAACAATTACATTACAGTGAAATCTGATATAAGAAAATTACAATTATCAATGAAACCTAATATAATATAAATGTCAAATTGGTTAATTTGGAAAAATATTTGAAACTTTTATGGATTGATTAGAAAATATATAAAAGATACAAACATTTTTCCAAATTTACCATTTTGACCAGATCAAAATAGTTAATTTGGAAACTTATAGGTGAAACATAAATAAAACAAGTTAAAATGCTTGATTTGAAAAATAAAAAATAATAAAATAAATATAAAAAGTCTATATGACTATACCCTTTTATGTTTTTGATTAAAAGACTAGTGGTTAAACTATGAAATTGCCCAAAATATATTGTTTTTTTTTTCTGTAATTTCCTCTGTTTTGTACATGTTTTTCTACAAATTTATCGATTGTGAATTTTGGATCATGATGTGGAATTTATGGCAGACGTATTTCAAAGGATGAACTAAAATCAATGTTGGAAGAATATAAAATGGGCGATGCAGACACCATTAATGATATAATATCATAAATTCATGTGAATGTTGTAAGTTATTACTGTTTGAATAAAGTGTTGTCAGGGTATATGATGTTTAAAGAATATTTGAGAAAATGATGATGTTGACCCTAATAACAGGATAGTGAAATCAGCTATGAAGAATTCTGTAAAATGGTAAAAAGCTAAAAGATGATGTTGAGCAAATTACCGACTTTATTTCAAGAATTGGGTAATCGGTTGAGATCCATTTCTACTTGGTGAATTGTCCATTGCATATTCTCTAGTTTCTGAAAAAATACATGTTTTAACTTTTAACTCATTTAACATTTTATTTAATTAAATTCAGCAAAATTGTATCTTATAAATGAATGGTTAACCCACCTTCACTGTTTCTCGATATTGGCTTGTGATTGTGTCAAAATGGGGGTCAAACACCTTGATATTCTCGAAGTCGGTCACCTACAAATCGGTATGATTGTGTCAATTCACAAGGGCATTATTGTCTTCAGCACATAAAAAAAGATCAAGAATGAGTCCCTGTTTGTCCCACAATAGAGATCATATGAAATAAAGCAAGAAATAACGTACAGCTTTGTTGTATGCAAGTGAAGCTTCTTCTGTGGCTTCGACGACATATTTCCTATAAAATTACGAAAATACCCCTTTTGAAATCACAAAGGGAGAAAAAAATTTAAGAAAACACAATCTTACCTTATCTTATGCAGTGTTGGGACTGATTTCTATGTATAGCTCTCAACCAGGAGAATATGCTCCAAAACTCTAAACAAAACAAAATGAGAAGGGCATTTACGTCTTTTGAACAAAGTGATAGGTAAAGGGAATAAAAAGACACAAACCGTAATTTGGCGCTCATGGTTTCACACATTTTGCACAACCAAGTCTTTTGTAGTTCATCCCACAAAAATTTCATATAGATTTTGTGAATTATGCAATGATCGTGTGTTATTAAAGAAACATGAAAGAGGTTCCTCACGTATGTATATTGATGTTGTAACTTCAAATCTTTTACAAGCTTAATAAGCACACCAAGTATATGCTCCAACACCTTTGAAACAAATGTGAATTCAAGTAAGCCAATAAATGATAAATTATTTATAAAGATTACAATTTACAAATGAAATAGTTATTCTGTTATTACATATATTGTAATATTCTGCAAAATGCAAAATGTCAGTAGAATATAGATCTTCACGTAATGTTGTTTCTTCTATTTCAATATCCTCAATCATTAACTGTAACGCCCGCAACTTCGGGCTAGACATTTAAGATATAATAGATAATAATTATAATATAAATCCTCGATTACGATTATCATTAGTTGTGTGCATTGCAAAATACGTATTATAAAGCCATTTCAGTGATTTATCGAATGACAATCTCGATAGAAGATAATTTAGGACAAATAATCTTGACAGAAAATGTGAGAGTTGCGATATGAATCCCGTACATATAAAGCACACTAAAATCCGACTTTGGATGCAGAAGTCATGAACTTCTGAAGTTTCACGATTAATCAACGTATCGTAAATAGTGAATCAGAGATAGCTTGCTTATTAGCCTAAGTAATCTAATTATCTAAACAAGAATCGTAGTAGTCGTAAAACCGAGAACGTGCATATAGAGAACGCTCAAATCTGACTTCATAAGAGGAAGTTATGATTTTTCTAAGTTCCAGTGTAACAGTGTGCAACACTGATATCGACTTTTATATCTGTTGATTGTTATCCGAAACAATCTAAACGAGAATCGAAGAACTTGTTAATAGGAACCCGGAAATATAAAGACAGTCGAGAACGGACATCGGACGAGAAAGTTATGAATTTTTAACAGACTTTAACAGTCAGTCTGTTAAAAATATAACCTTAAAAATTAATTCAAAATTAGTTGTAACATCCCAAAAATCCAGGGTAAAATTTTCATTTTTATTATAATCAAAACACTATTGTAACTTTGTCCAAACATTGAAAAGCATTTTAAATAAAAACAATTATTAGACTTCATTCCCAAAGATCACATATTGCGGAAAACACGGGTGTATGCGCTGCGATTGTCCCGAGCTCTTTCATTTTGAAAACTGGAGTACCTGAAACACAAACTGAAAACCGTAAGCACAAAGCTTAGTGAGTTCCCCAAATACCACATACCATACATATCGAACGATCCATACATGTCATACATAACCGCGAACCACACATAACTTTCATATATCATAATCAATAAAGGTGCTATGTGTCATCCATAGTCTTGCCATTATGCCACGAGCCGCCTCGTGGTCTTCCTTACCAGGCCGAGGGCCACAACCCTGGGTCTTACAGACAAGTGACAGGAGCCACCTCCCGGTCTTCCATGCAAGCATCACAAAAACAACCAGCATACAATTCTAAACTACTTAACTAATTAACTGTCAGAGTTCATGAAACATCCTAAAAATATAGGCCAAAAATATCTTTTTAAAATCATTTATAATAAAACCATACGTCATCCATCATCATAAAGAAAACCATAATCGTGTATCTCAAAACATCGTGTCAAAATACTGTATCAAAATCATATGAAAAGATCAGAGTCTAAACATCCCAGACTGAAGCTGTGGTGTGTGTCATGCGATCATCCCGAGCCGTTCCCCTTGCTAGTGGAAGTACCTGAAACCAAAACTGAAAACAGTAAGCACGAAGCTTAGTGAGTTCCCCAAACTACCACATACCATACAAATATCATGAAACTAGGAGATACGGTCCCCGCCCACTCTCATGGAGATTCGGGCCCCGCCCACACTCCGCTGTCTAGGAGATTCGGGCCCCGCCCACACTCCGCTGTCTAGGAGATTCAGGTCCCGCCCACACTCCAATACTAACATACATACAAGTATCACACAGACAACAAGTATATCTACCAAACAATCACATATCTATACTCAAATAATACTATGAGAATCGGGCCCCGCCCACTCTAGGTTGCTACGAGATTCGGGCCCCGCCCACACTCAGCTACCAACATATCACATATACGGGCCGACCTTGGTACCGTACACCCGTTCCTACTGAAGGAAACTCACCTCGCAAGACTGACTACTGAAAACTCGAGTGAGGAATCCATGTCCGCTGCTCCGAAGACTCTCCGGCTATAAATTCCATAATAACACTTAATCAGAATATGCTAATACTCTCTTAGGGTAAAATAACCATTTTACCCCTGGTTAAAGTCAAAGTCAAAGTCAAGGTCAAGTCCCAGTCAACCCAACTCGTCGAGTTATCTCCCAACTCGGCGAGTCCCTGAATGCTTAAACTCGTGGTCAACTGAGTCAACTCGTCGAGTCCCTTAACAAACTTATCGAGTTCTTGCTGTCATAATAATCGGGACAACCCACTTCAACTCGTCGAGTCCTTCCCTGGACTCGGCGAGTTCCCATGTCTGATTGAGCCATCTCAATGGATTAAGCTCCTACCATTCATATATATGTTCCAAACTTCATCTACATACTGGAAATGCACTCTTAAGGGTAAAGTTTCCAACTTTACCCGTCCTTAGTCCTTCCTAATGGGTTTAACCCAAACCCTAACTTCTTTAAGACATAAAACTTGGTCTACCAGCCATAATACCATAAACCAAAGCACAATATACTAGATCTAGGCTCTTATCATCTGTGAAAAGTCCCGAGCTTTCCTCCCATGCATGGTCTTTTAGGGATAAAAAGGCCATGTTCTTGCATATAAACTTGCATGGGGTCTCCATGGTCATAAAGTTTTCACTTTTATGCCATGGAACCCTTCCTAGACCCCAGATCTGAGATGTACATCACTTGGGACGTCCCAGTCCCAAGGGCTAAGGTTCTGGAACCAATTCCTTCATAAAATGTAAACAAATAGATCTAAGAGAAGAAGGATCAAGTTAGGGACTTGATTACCAGAAAATGCAGTAAATTGAGTGTAGCTCCTGGATCTACTTCTTCCCCTTTGAGCCTTCTATCTTCTTCTTCTTCCACAAGCTTCAAAAGGCACAATAACACTCAAAATGGTAAGAACTAGATTAAAATCACTCAAGGTGGATTAGGGTTTCGAGATTAGGGTTTGGAGTTGATAGAGGCTGGGGTGGAGGCCAGATATGATGTTTAAATAGGGTGCAAACCCTAAAGATTAGG